TTGAGCATTTTTTTTTTTTGGAAAAGAGGCAAACAGAGCTTTACGGAGGTATATAACAAGTCTCATGGAGAGCTACCAATCAGTTTAGTTTAATCCTTTAAATCACATTAGAATTCTAAAGTAGGACACCAAAAATAGCTTCGTTCCAAAGCTCGATACTAATTTGATGCGAGCCGAGTTTAAGGCTAGTAAAAGAAGGGAAAACGAAAAGAGAAAGGAGATTAATATGAAATAGATAGTTCCAAGATGTCACTTGATTGGGGATAACGAGATGTCACTCAATGTTACTAATCATAAAAGCCACTTTATGCATCCAAGCCGAACGTTTGATGGTTTAGGAGGAACAACTCGACTCCAAGCAAGATAATTGCTAGATAAAGGTTTTATGTTTTAAAGGAAAAGTTCTCCTTATTCATTACGTATTCATGTAGAAATAGTACCAAAGATGGCCATTACAATTTCGACAATTAAGGCCATAAATTTTTTAAAAAATGCAAAATTCGATAAGACTTTTAGTTTCTAGTAAATATTTATTAAACTATATTAACTAAAAGACTACTAGAATAAATAAACTGTAGAAGTTGAAACACCTAGCATTTAAGCTTCGCATCATATATGGGTAGTTAAATTCCAAATAGATTGAGCTTTAGGTGCTTCTGATATGTAAGTGGGAGAGATTTGAGATAGAGAGAGAGAAAAAGAAAGAGAAAGAGCTAAAGGGGGGTTTCTTTTGCTAAAGATCGAAAGCTTTGAAGTTAAAAGTTTTCTAATCCAAAAGTTTTGATCTTCTCATAATGATATGAGATTGGTATTTATAGTGAAAAAAGATGGTTCTCGATGCTAGGATCATGTCACATCATCCAATTTTGAACGGTCGGACTTGACTTGAAAGATTTAGGTTTTTTTTTTTACTACTTCAACTTATTAGCAAATACTAAAGAAAGTAACAATTGAGTCTTTCCTTAAGAGACACCGCTTCGAATCCACCAAATCAATCTTCCTAATACATCCCAATGATAAAGCATGAAAATTGGTATTGTCGAATACCCATATACATTATTGCGATTCAAGACCTTATGTTGACTTTGTCGTGCAATTTAGATCCACATAAAAAAATTAATATAAAATAAAAATTAATTAAATTAATTAATTAAAATATTGAGTATATCCAATATCCAGCTCATTTAAGCAAATTCATCTCAACCATGCCACTAGAGGGATCTGTTTTTACCATCCCATCTGACGAGAAACATGTAGCAAGCCTTTGTATTATTGTACCACTTTCAAGTTTCACCTACTGACTTTCCATTAGGTACTCCTATTATAGTTGCAGAAGGCTTAATTGCTGTATACAAATGCACTTCAGAAACATACGAAACACCATTAAAAAATCTCTTAGTATAAAAAAATACGAGAGAGAGAGAGAGAGAGAGATGAAATACAACAATAGCACTTTTTCCATCACCTTTTAGGTACTACAATCAATGAATTTTGTAATGCTTTGACAGAGCTTGACCCATATTTTTGTCTTTCCAATGGTGAAAAGAAGATGAGATGTTCCTTCCTCTCGAAAGCATTTTTTGTCTTTCAAGCCACCCATCACCAAAGAGTATCTTTTGCATCTTTATCTTTTTCAATAAAATCAAAAAGCTTCATAAATATGGCATTATTGCTTCTCATCTTATCACTCTATTGGATTTCTCAAGCATCTTCAAAGTTACTTTCACTATGATATAAGACTTCAATGATAAACTTGATGAATATGCTACCTCAAATTTTGGATGCATGGGATCCACTTTTATCCTTAGAGATCCTTAGAGAGAGCGTGAGGGAAGGAGGGAGAACTGTACTCTATATATGGGATTATCATTAGAATTTCAATCATATTAATATGGTATGATCCGTCTTTTTGAGAGACAACTGCATGAGAGGTAATGATGCAAAAATCCAAGATGCAAATCTGCTAATTTCTTTTAAGGAATATGAACACATTATTATGTTATAAAAGTTTGGCTTAGATGCTTGCATGTGCATCTTCATGATGTCACTGAGATTTTAAGGTAGTGGCCGGTTTTTCTTTTTGCTCCATTAACTCATATCCTCATCAATCCTAAAATGGTGGCTAAGCTAATTGGTGGATAGAGAGCGAATTTTTTTGGGGGGTGAATTATGATAAGCTTAGGTGAATATTTATAATACCTTTTATCGATCATATTTTTTTTAAAAAAGTTGAGATTACTAATTTCGAAACATATATAATACGATTATTCATCTTACACAATATTGAAATGATACTAAAATGATTTTTTCATAATTACAAAATTTATTAACTAACCAATTACCGATCATGTATTGTTACATCATTCAATAAAAATAATTAGGAAAAAAATTAAGTATCTCTAACATTATTAGTTATGTGAAATACCCACATCATTTAATACAAAATATTTTATTAAAAAAAATTTAATTACTCCTAACACTATCCTTTCCACGTATTTCATTTTTCTCTTCTAATAGGAAATTTCCACCCATGTATTAATCTAGTAAGTGAGCACTCTGTTATATAAATATTAATCGTCCGATATCTTCTAAGAATCTGAAAATCTACCTGCTTTTACAGAAATCCCCTTTGTTTCTTCACACTTCAGGATTGCTCATAGTCACATGTTATGCATTTAGATTTGTGCTACTATGAGACAAAGATCTCTCTCTCTCTCAGTAGTAGTGTGAAAAGGGCAAATTAAGTTGTGGGTCACATGGAGATGGGGAAAGATCATGTAATGTAATGCATAACATGTCCACTGCAAATTCTGAACATATAGATAAGGGAGGTCGGTCATATTTGGAATAGAATCTTCTTTATTATTCAATTACAAAATTTGAACCTTAGAGCTCCAAATAACCAATGCTGCCTCTTCCAAGGTTTCCTATGTGGAAGACCAATCAATCACTTCTTTACAAACATGCAAGAGAAGCTAGCTTGCATTATAGATGAAAATGGATCCCTTTCATTTCTTTTTCCAGGCATATTCAATCCCTAGAAATGGATTTATCAAGAAAAGCAACACATAAAAAGAAAGAAAAGCAAAAATGAAAAGAACCTTTTCCCTTTTTTTTCCTTTCAGGTTTTACTATTGAAAAACAAAAAAAGATGAGAGAGAAACATTTGCTATCTCATTATTGAATACAATATATGATCAGTACCTTAGAGTTGACAGCTGTCAAATTTTGTTTCTAGTAATTAAGCAAAACATATTACCATATCATAGGAATTCACACTTAATTTACAGCATATCGCATGTAGATCGATCAGTCATATAAAGATGATATTATCTGCATCAAAACATTTACTTCCATGCCACTATTCACAACAAAAATGATATTATCTGCATCAGAACGTTTAATTTGCAACTATTTGTTCAGACCTCTGAGCAGTAAATACCAAAAATAAAAAATAAAATCACTCTTCGTCGTTTAATTCTTAATGTGGTAACTAGGGTACGTAGTGATTCGATCCATGATGTGTGAAGGAGTTTGATTTGTACAGAAAGCGAACTTCAGCAGAGGAATCTGAATTCTGAAGTGGTCTTTCTGATCTTTGTCATGTAGAGTAATAGAGGAGGCAGCTTTGTGAATTAGAATAGATAGCAAAAATGGGAATTAGAAAATGGCATCTCATTTAACAAGTAATTCAATTTCAAAGGGTAAATAAATTATTCCTTCCACTGAAGTGAGTAGTTAACTACTTTCCTTACAGCATCTTAAGTCACGGGTTTGCCTTGAAATGTACAAAGACATGAATTAATGAAGTTCAGGAATGTTCCTACTAACATACGTGCACATGCCATATTCCTGTATTTTTCATAAAATAAATGGGGTAGGTTCTGCCCATGTCATTATATATTTTGATCTCTCTTAGTAAATTGTTAACAAACTAGCTAGGGTGTTCTGTCCAAGGCTTATCAGAAAGTAAAAAAAAAAAAAAAAAGCCTGTGTATGCCAACTTGCTTGCGCCTCACTTCACCCACATGCACAACAAGCCAGAATTCATAACCAAGTTGGAAACTAATTATTTCAGAGAATACATAAACAGAACTTCTGTGCAATCACAGATTAAATATATAACTAGGGCTTCTCGATACAACTTTTTATTTTTAATTCACTGGTCACTGGTGAATGTAAGATTCCAATAAATAGAATAGTGTTCCTTCATGACAGCAAGGGTTAAAATTTTATAGATTCAAAATATGTAGTCACAAGCTTCCAAGTTTCAGTTCTAGAGAAGAATATAATGTCCCTCCTGGGGTGAAGGAACCATATCCTAACATCATTAATTTTAGAAATCAGCTTGTGAATTTGGATCTTTTATGCTCGGGACGAAAATCGAAATGTCACAGTATATATATTCTTTTTTTATTTAAGACTTAATATTTGGGCACTTCACTCCACTCCACCTTTTCCTATTTTCTTTTTCGAAAGGAATAGCAGAAACCTGCTAGGGACAGATTTGTCCTTGCATGCAAAGACAATGATTCTAAACCATCATTTCGGTGTGCCCTAATCAAAGAAAAGTTCATGAGCTCAAGATGCATCTTCCCCCACTCAGTTCAAAAAAAAAAAAAAAAAAAAGATGCATCTTCCCCACCAGTACTAGCCAATAGTACTCCTGTGAATGGAACAATCAATAGCTAATTAAGAGCTCATTGGATCTTATAATTATAGTAATTCTAGAAAAAATCAATACTATAATTTACTGACATGGTCATATGCTTCTTAAAGTAAGAAACTACAATGAGAGAGAAAGAGAGAGCAAAGAGTCGCTTTTATTTTAGTGACATGGCCATATGTTTCTGTTTCGTAAAGTTAGAAAATTATAATGAGAGAGAGAGGGGCAGGAGCTTCTTTAAACATACTGAACTTAGTAGTGAATATTGAGTGTAAAAATTGTACTAGCAGAAGTACACATCGTTTGCTTCCTCTATTGTAATTCCCAGCTGGTAATGGCTTTTACAGTGGATAGGTGTGAAGAGATGGTGTTTACTGTGGAGTCTCAAAAGGCAGTTCCTGCACCCTTCTTAACAAAAACATACCAGCTGGTTGATGACCCTCTTACAGACCACATTGTGTCTTGGGGCGAGGATGAAACCACCTTTGTTGTGTGGAGACCTCCTGAGTTTGCTAGGGATCTCCTCCCCAATTACTTCAAGCACAACAACTTCTCAAGCTTTGTCAGGCAGCTCAATACCTATGTGAGCACCTTCTCTCTCTCTCTCAAGGGTAACTTAAAACGATCTCTAGATTCTAATAATTAATAAGCAGCAAGGTAAAAGCTATTCTAACTAATATGGTTGCTTTTTCAGGGAGTTTCTCAGTCTTTCCAAGTAGGGTTGCTCACATTTTAGATGATTAATAATTTTGCTCTCAAAATCTCTTACAGATGGATTCTCTTCATTGCTATATCACTCTTCTTTTTAAAATCTTAAGCACTATAAGTGATCTAGAGCACCGATAAAAAAAAATATTGAGGAACATTCAATTTCAGCTAATCGTAGTATTGAGTACTACATTGTAATCCGTTTTAGATTACGAAGCTTTCTAAATGAACCTTCCACGAAATCGGTTTAATATTTTTACTTGACAATTTTTCTTTTCTTGTCATTCTCTTATTCTTGTTAATACCTTGCAGGGATTCAAGAAGGTAGTAGCTGACAGATGGGAGTTTGCAAATGAGTACTTCAGAAAAGGAGAAAAGCACTTACTATCAGAGATCCACAGGAGAAAAACAACCCAACACCATCACCAACAATACCCTGACCAAGCACCCCAATTTCTCCAACCAGAAGATGGTTTTACTTGGATTGATCCTCCATTTCCATCCCCAAAACCAGGTGCTGATATCCTAACTGCACTCTCAGAAGATAATGAGCGACTGAGAAGGAAAAACTGCATGCTTTTATCAGAACTCTCCCACATGAAGAACCTCTATAATGACATTATCTACTTCATCCAAAACCATGTAAAACCAGTTCCCTATGAGCAAAAAGCTTACAATACAGTACCTAAGCTTATAGAACTGGGTTCTTCATGTCAAGCACAAACCATTTGTACTGGCATTCAAAGGGCTAAAAATGGTGTTTTGGGTAAGCATTCATTGACATTAAATGCTGAGGAATCAACTAGTCCTGTGAAGCTTTTTGGAGTCCCTCTCGTTGGCAACAAAAGGCTGCATCCAGAAGCACTGATGGAATAGCTGGAATTTTAATATTGTAGGGTCTCTCTTAATTAGCTTCTACATTGATAGGTTCTAGTTGTTGTCAGTGAGAGTTATCAGAAGAGAAGTTATGTATACAAGTGGCTGGAAATTAGGTTTGAGCTAAGCTACTTCTAGTTACTTCAAGTAAAAAAAAAAAATTATTTTCTTTTCTTTTTTATTTTTTAATTCACAAATCTGCAGCAAAATATTGGCTTCCCCAATATTGATATTTCTAGAAATTAAGAACTAAATAGAGTCTCTATTAGCCTTATTTTCCTTAATTTCTTTTAGATTTCTAATTCTTTCCTTAATCAAATACAGGGTAGTCGATTTCTTGAAGAACTACATAAATGGCACGTACATAATAAACTCTTAAGAGCAGAAAAAACCTACTCCAAAATTAATTAATATTTTAAAACCATGTTTATGAATGGTAATTATTAATATAGTACTTAGACTCCAATTATTTTTCTCATCCGAACCTGATCGGCTGCCTTAATACAATTCAATATCGCTCCTTATAACACTACCTTCGCAGGTTCCTCTTTCGAGTGTGGTTGACTCTTCCAGGTGCTTGTGACGTTTTCCATTTTCCATAGAATCTCCAGGCTTTCCTATCTACTATAGTTGTGTTTTTTTATCTTATTTATCTGAAAATGGGTTTGATTTGCTTCACCTATGAAATTTCTACCAATTCCCTTCTTTTATTGATCCAAGCTGAAACTATATATTCTTGGTCAATGCTCTATAGTAAATTCACAAAGGCATTATCTCCAAAAATAGCTTTTTATTGCATGTTCAATATCATTAACTGTCTTCCACCCAAAGAATGTTTTGTCAGTACTGATCTCTCTCTCTCTCTCTCTCTAAGGAAAAAGAAATGCTTATGTCAATAAAGAAACATGAAGTATTAGTTTCACTGTTTACTCAAAGCTTTTATTCGGAATACTGTACCATGCAAAACGTCTTAAAGTAAGTGAAACAAGAAAGAAACTATAGCTAGTGATTAATTAGTATATGGTCTGGCCAGTGGCCACTCGATTATTCTTCTCCTTTTAAAAGGAGAAAAAAAGAGAATGAATGAAAATGGGGAGTTCAGAGAATGTAAGTGGAGGATGGAACTGAGCAATCATATCATGCTTTAAGTTTGACATTCATGATCATGTGGAATCTAAAGATTTGCTTTCAGTTTTTATCTGAAAAGAAGAAAAGAAGCTATAGAGAAGGGTGAAAATAGTAACCCATTTAGCCATTAGCATAGGCAAATATACAAAGAAAACAGAGAAGAGAAGATTTTCGGTTAAAGATTGCTTTGGGATTGTTCTATAATGCGCTTCATTGTCATGCCTCGATTTTGTTTCCCTTCTTCTTGTGTAAGCTCTTTTTTCCCCCTCTTTTTATGCTAACGTCGTTTTCTTTCTCTCCTTGATGCCAAAACTCGAAATGGAATTAAACTTGCCTCTTCTTTTTCTACTTTAAATAGATGGCTATGACAACATGTAACAAAAAAATCTTGAACCGTAACTTTTTTTTCCTTTTTTATTTTTTATTTTTATAAAAGTTTATCAATATATTAGAGTGAAAATGAGTTAAAAAGAAAATGATTAAAAGATGATCACTTCAAAATACAAATGATAATTTGTATTTACAAATGGTAATTTGGAGGGTGGGGATCCAAACTTACAAGTTTATTTTTCGTGGAAAAGGATTGTACTACGCTCGAATTTTATGGAATAATTGAGGTACCAATGTTATAACTTACTGATAGATTATTGGGTAAATTCAATGTGATCCTTTTAATTTTGAAAATTGATCATATTATCCTCTCTATTCCAAGGTCTTGTGTAGCAAAAATTGGAGTAGAAAGGCGAAGACGGTCAATTTCTGAAACTAGAGGACTACAATAGGAACTTGCACAAAAATTAAGTACTCTCATTTCTCAAATTTTCTTTAACAAAAATACGATGCTTACTCTTTTTAAGCATTCGAAACCGGATAAACCTTTTATGAGTAAAAATAATAATAATAATAATAATAACTAATATCCTCCCTTTTATTTTCATGAAGTTACTATAGTTTTTGTACATCCGTGTCTGATCAGTTATTTCACGATGAATCCTTGGTTTGACAATTTTGATTCTTTGATCCTTTTGTACTATCTCTGCCCTATTTTTATGTTTCAATGCAATTTACTTTTTTTTTTTTTTTTTATGAAGCTTAATGCATACACTCTTTAAGAGATAAAAGAAGAAGCCCTTGTATATAATTCAACAATTAAATAAATCATTAAATGTGCAAATTAGTCTGATGATATACTTACGGTCTAATAAAAAAATCATTAAATATGTTTGATTCACATGTTATAATATTGAATTCAATCAGAAAAGAGCTTATCTAAAAGTACCCAAATCATTAAAAAAAATTAAAAGAAGAAAACCCTACTATTTTTTATCTTTACAAAAGAGATGTTCAAACTCAAAACCTGTTAAAAAGAAGGAGACACTAATGCTAACTGAACTACACTTTATTAACATTGATAATTACTATTAGTAATAAGAAAGGCAAAAAATAAAAATAAAAAGATTTCAAATTTTTAGACTACAAATTAACTATGCATCATACACATAACATCAACTATTTATTATTAATTTTTTTAATATTATTAAATTAATTTCTTTGAAATAAAATAATTAAGCTGATGTTTTAGGAGAACCATCCAATGATTCAACTGTAGCTTTTAATATTAATATTATTGATTATTTTACGAATAAATATATATAAATCAAATGTATGTATTTTTTAAAAAATAATCTTTTCATCAGAATTAAATAAGAATAAAAATCTATTTATTTGTTAATTTTTATACAAGTTTCTATATTAATTTTTATTTATTTTTCTATACAATTTTATGAAAAAATTATTAAGGCATTTTTAAAAATTTTGGATTAAATATTCTATTTAGATTATTGCAAGTACTTATTTAAAAATCAATACATAAAAAATAACAAATCGTATTTCTTAACTACAAAATTTATCAAAAACATAAAAAATAAATAAATTATAAAATGAGATGATTTTTTAACATTTAATTCAATATATTTTAACAGATCTATAATATAATACAGATTATCAAATTAAAATTATTTTTTAAAATAATTTTACATGATCTGTTAAACTCTCAACACAGCATGAAAAATAAACTAATATGTTCCATACCAAATTGTTATTAGATTTTTAAACATCCAGTTGAAGTCAGCATCAATATCTTTGTAATTGAAGCAACACGTTGAATATTTTACCTTATTTCGAACATCATATCGGATATAGAGTTTTCTGGTTTCATCTCTACATCCTTCTCCACCAATAACTTGGCCTCAATTTTCTGCAAGCCTGCCACTTCTCTCCTAAAGACCTCTTTCCAAATTAAATTTTCTTTGTACGCAATTTTATCAATATCTGAATAACTGAGGCCCAACCAAAATTGTCTTTTCAGTCACTGGAGAGGCCCAAAGGCCTAGAAAACAAACCTGACCTTTTGACAGTGACGCAGACTTGTAATTAGCCCATAAAAAAAATCCCAGTCCGTATCTGCGGAGGTCGAGGATAAAATATTGGACTATCTCAGGACCAAAGATCAGTAAGGGAAAAAAAAAATTAGTATAAATTTCACCACTTGTTTGCTTCCTTATTAATGAGGTGATAATGCCATTGATGATGGAACTGCTTATGAATGATGTTAATATATATATATATATATATATATATGATGTTAATCCAAGACTCCTTCGGGACTGGTAGAGGCTCACCTTCTCTATTTATCAATCATAGTCTATTTGTTGCGTTTATTCAGTTTATCATTGTTATTTTTTATTTTTTTATCTTTGTTTAAAGCTAGTCTTTAATTATTTTCTATAGTTTCTAGTTGTTTCTTTATGTTATAAACTTTCATGAGTCTTGGAGCTACAACGATAATTTAGCATAAATCACTAATGCTTTAGTTTTCAGATCTTTTGTACAAAAAAAAGCATCAAATAAAGATTAAAATAGTAAAATTATTAGTATATTGTCATTAAATAGTGTGTCAGTTGTTCATACACTTGTACAATAATTTTATTTTTCAAATCTAAATTTTAATTTTTTTATTTTCTCAATAAATTTTCATTGAAAAACGAATCAAGCAAAATAATAAAGTAAAAAGAAAAAAGAATAATAATATAACATAAAGATTTTACATGATTCGATAATAGTGTCTATTCCAAGATTACACTAGAATTCTTATTAAATTTTATCAAATGACACCTATAAATACAAGTGATGTTATTTATATTTATAGTATATACAATTAAAATTATAAAAAAAAAGATCTAACCGACTTATACACTTGATTCAATATTTTTTAGGCTTTTTCATCGCATAGTGCTTTATGCATTGGATCTTCATCTCCATCAATCTCTATAACTTAACGATTTTCACCGTATGTTTTTTGGAAACTTTTTCTACCATATGTAAACCTGTTTCATTCTTTATACAAAGAATTATATGGTGTTTTGGTTGGTCTCAAATCCAGATATAGAAGTCTTATTCATCCTTTATTTTATCTCACAAAAATATTTATCTTTAACTAAAAAAAAATACAATAATAATAATTGAAAAGAATAAAATTTATTTTTGTCATGGTTAACTTGGTTTGAGCATGCAATTGGATCAGTTTGAATACCAAAAACTCATGGTTGGTTGGTTTCAGGGCAAAATTGTACGTAACTACTTTGCCAGGGTCTCAAAAGACCTTCATGAAGTCAAATAGCCCAAATTGTTGGAGTCCATCTTAAGATGGATTGGACTTTAGGCTGGTTTTTAATTTGCCCTTGCGATGGGATTTAAAACAACGTAATTGTCTTTTAATCAAGATGGTTTTTCTAATTTATATATATATATATATATATATGTGGGTTTAATGGCAAATTTTGCCACCATGTAATTACGATTTGATAATTTAA